GCTTCAAATCTCTCCATAAACCCTGCTTTGTCATGGAATTATCTTTTTAGCCACACCAGTAACCCCTGCACCCTCAGTGTCTTGAGTGGTTTTTTTCCATCTTGCCTTATCTTAGGATCTGAACCTCCAACAGCTTGGGTGCTCGGTAACCAGGGGATTCTAAGAGCTACATTTATTTGGCCTGCTTCTCTTGCCATGACATACTGCCACAGCTGTGGTCAGCAGCAGCCAAGCTAGATCCTCCTCATTATTAAAAAAAAAGAGGGGGCAGCTGGCAAGGTGTTCTCTGGCAGGGCTGCAGGGAGTCTCTCTCCCACTTGGTCTGAAATAGTCAGAACTTGGTGATGTTCCAGGCATACTACAAAAGACAGCTATTTGAGAGGGCTGAGGGTATGCTTCTATAATGAAAGAGGGGTGGAAAGGAGCTTTGAAGGTAGCTGGCTGGCTACATTCCTGTTCAAATGATTACTTGAATGTTGCTGCAATTTTATTGCATTACTAATGGTGTAACATGGCAGGGCTTCTTGTCAGCCCAAGCATACACTGCCATGCCCAGTCTCCTTTAACAATGTTTATTGTACAAACATAAGCAAATAAAAACATTCCCTTAACTCACCAACTGTCTGAAGTGTTCACAGCTGTCCCACCCAGGGTCTCTGGTGATCCTGCTTTGAGTCTTACAGCTTCCCAGTAGCAGCCAGCTCTGCTACTTCCCTAAGCTCCTAGCACCAGGCACCCACCACAGGTGTTAACTCCACATCTCTGTGGTTTCTACTCCTCAAGCACAGCCTGTCTCATTTACTCCTCCTTTCCTGCTCTCTGACAGGTCTTTATAGCCCCAGGTGTAGCCCTTCCCCCTTTAATTAGCTCAACTGGGTTACCAACTCTGACACACAAGAGCTATGCCAGGTCTACTCAGAGAGACGAGCTGTTCTGTGACAGTTGAATCGGTGTCTTTTCATTATTTAAATCTAATATATAAAATAAATTTGGCAGGTGCCTCAGGAGCAATCAGTTTTTAGCTTTGAAAAAAGGCAGCTAGACCACCTCTCCTGTGAACCTTACTCTAAAATGGTGGACACAACTTTACAAACCTGCTAAATAACAGATGCCAGTGAGAGGGCCTGATCAGCCATTGCCCTTCTCCTGTTGTATACCATTGACTTCAGCAGACTTGCACTGGCAAAAACCAGGAATAACACAGTAGTGAATGAGGGCCAGAAAGAAAGGGTCTCTTTAATTGCATCTGCAATACTTATAAGCATAAGACCTCATTTATGCATGCACAAACTAAGTAAGTACAAGCCATTATACCTATTTGAACATGCCATTGACAAAGGTTGTGCCTGTGGATGGATGGAGTCCATAACGTCGTGGCATAGTTAAGGAGACCCTTAGAGCATAGCACAGGGGTCGGCAGCCTTTCAGAAGTGGCGTGCCGAGTCTTCGTTTATTCACCCTAATTTAAGGTTTCGCGTGCTGGAAATACATTTTAACGTTTTTAGAAGCTCTCTTTCTATAAGTCTAGAATATATAACTAAACTATTGTTGTATGTAAAATAAATAAGGTTTTTAAAATGTTTAAGAAGCTTCATTTAAAATTAAATTAAAATGCAGAGCTCCCTGGACCGGTGGCCAGGACCCAGGCAGTGTGAGTGCCACTGAAAATCAGCTCGCGTGCTGCCTTTGGCACGTGTGCCATAGGTTGCCTATCCCTGGCATAGCACTTTCAATGAAATGTTCACATGTAGCCCCCAATTCCCCGTCCACCTCCCCCGAGCTCCTGAGGACAGCCTTAGACAGGTTGTAACCACTGCAGTTCTGCTGCATGGGTGGGGAGGGACAGAATACCAGGAGTCAACTCAGGGGATGTGCCCCTTATGTGCTCACAGAGTGAAGCCTTGACCAGGGCTTCTAGTGTGACTGAAGTTAGGAGCTCTTTAGAGGCAGCGTGGGTTGTTGCTGCAGGATCTACTGCTCTGAATATCCTCCAGTTTAAACCCCTCTCCCTGCTGTGGAGAGTGCAAGTACAAGGGCTAGGGAAGTTGTAGTAGTGCCACAAAGTGGCTCTGCTCCTGTCTGTACTCTGGAGAGGACTCCTCCAGTACCCAGCTGAGTTACTCAAACTGCATATTGGGGCAGGATTTGGACCTTTATGGATAAGAGCTTCCATATATTCTGAAACTCTCCTGAGTTGAATGTGTTTGTCAGACAATTAGACCTGATTGACCTTCTTATGTTACCTGGGCTACAGTACCTTGGTTTGCCTCATTCAGACATATCTCAAATACTTTGGACAAACACAAACATGTTTAGTCTTTTAGCCTTATTTAATCTCTTTACATTAGCAGTCCTTGAGAACAACTTCAGCATGGTATCAGATTAACCCAGTGTTAGACATGCCTCCACTGGAAAATATTGTGTATTCCTCTTTGGCTGAAGGACAGAGTTTGCCTTTACATAAACACACACACTCATCTGACCCAAGATGTTTGCAAAGACAGGAGCGTAAAGCCAGTGTGAGATGCCAGCTAGCTTTGTATGTCCAATTTTCAAATGATATTTAGTCATTGAAAGAGGGCACTCTTCATCTGCAAAATTGGAAACATGTTCAGATTTCTTTTGTGTTAGAAACTGCCAAACCACAAAACCAGATTCAAAATACTGCATAAAGCTCTAACAATTTTTAAAAACTGAAGGCATGAGAGATATATGCATATATCTCAGGACAGATTTCAGCCTCTCCAAAAGCCCTCTGTTTCTATGCCTTCTTTTCTTTTTCTCTTTCTAGGGTGAAATTTCAGAAAGGTGGTCACTGCTGGCTTAACTTTGCTCCAGTGGGCCTTTTGCCACTGACTTCAGTAGGAGCCAACAATCATAGCTTTATAACATCCTAACTCTAGACTCCACTTTGCCTTGTATCTTGCCAAATCTTTAATTCTTTTTAGTATCCATGTTTCCGCTGACTATTTTTTCTACAATTTTTTCATCTTTAAATGTTTTGCTTCATTTTCCCCCTCCTGAACCCCTCCTTCCTTCTTTCTTTCAAGAAGGTTTTCTTTTCTGATTTGGCCTCTATTTTACCATCAGTGTTTTCTCTCTTGCTCTTTCCCCCTCAGTACAATCTCCCTCAACCACTATCACCGTGCATTTCTATCACTGTTGATTCCCCCTCTACTTTTCTCTCTGCTCAATTTCTTCTACAGCCCCTTAGTCTTCTGCTGATGGGAGCTGGAATGTGGATCCTGCTTATTCTCCAAATGTGGGTGGTGATGAGACTGTTCTGGAGCATGAATGAGTTGATTTTGTGGGTATCATCTTCCAGAAAAGGATAATATAGAATCCTGTGTAGAGATAGGTCTGGCCACCAAGACTGGATCCTGATCTTATCTTCCCCAAAGTCCAGGGGAGTTTGTTAGTATCTGGAGAAGGAGCCAGATGTGAAGTTCCAATCATAAGCTATGTCTACACTGCAACGTAAGCCCAAGGTTAGTAGAAGTCAAGTTAGCAGACTCTGGGTTCTATAACCCAGGGCTTCAGTGTCTACACTCATCTGTAACCCCAGGTTAGGAACTGGTGAACCCTGGGTCCCAACCTGGGGTTCCAGAATCTACATTGCATTATGCAGGCCCGAGTCCAACCACCCATATCTCAGATGTCCTAGCGCCTTCCCAAAATATGGCTGCTCTAGCCCTTTGTTTGTGGTGCAGTGTGGGAAAACTTGACAGTACACCAAACTTGACTGTGTAAAGGACAAAGAAAATTGACCTGTGGGATACTTTTGGCAGACTTCCAGAGCAAGAGTCCAGTAGGGCTGAGTCTACAGTGCAAAGCAATAGGGCTCAAACCCAGGGTCTTGGCTTGATTCAAGCTCAGACCATCCACCTCATTAGAATCCTGGTCTGAGCCCTGGGTTAGCATGATTTGTGTATAGACAAAAGGGGAGTTAGGCTTGAGTTTGAGCTCAGGCCCTGGGCTTACACTCCAATGTAGATACACCCCTAATAAATAAAATCCTCTTCCATTCTGTACAGTGCAACAGCCTCTGTATTGTACATATTTTCTGTTTACTAATGTACCATATCCTGGCTAATGGACAGACTATAGTTGTAGGGCTGTCAATGGGGAGGGAGAGCCAGTGCAACTGCCCTGGGTCTTGACTTCAGCAGGGTCTAGGACCACTAAGCATATCTGATAGTGGGTCTGTGCTGTTGCAGCACTCTCTGTGCCGCACAGTGCAACTCCAGGTCTAGCTAGTGCCTGCTGGGGTTGCTGCAGGCAGCCTGCAGTGGGAGGGTGTGGGCAGAGGTGCTGTATGATAATATCAACACACTGTGCTTCCACCACATAGTACGAGGAGCCCTATTGTGTGAGAGTAAAAATAGGGGCAAGAGAGGCTGAGAGAAGGAGATGAACAACAAGAGGGATCAGGAAGAAGAGGAGGGGAAATAATGGAGAGATGAGGTTAAAGAGAACAGTTGGAGAAAAACATTGAGGGGTGTGTGTGTGTACACAAAGTGGAGAAGAGAAACAGGACTGAGAGAGATAATGCAGGTGTACCACCCCAAAGGAACCCTGCTTCTACTTCTTGTCTGTCTTTCTAGGGGTTTATACCATGTTCATGACTGAAGTCCTTATTTGGGGGCAGCTAGCCCCTCCCACTGCATGGCTACACTCTCTCTTTAGCATGGCAGCTCAATTAGAGCTAGTTTGAGTATGTCACCTCAAGTTGCAATTTGCACCTCCACTTTTAAGTGTAGACATACCCTAAATGCTGGACTCAGATTATCCTGGTCTCTGTATACCTATGTATTTGTTACAGTTTTCTTCTATAAGTAACATTGTCAAAGAATTAGGCTTTCCTAGAGCCAACTTAATATATTTCTAATGACTTAAGCACATTTAGTTGAGAGTACTGCCTATTCTGTAGCATCCAAAGTGTACTGTACAGTGCTCAGTGAACACTACTGCCATTTTAAATGTCAGTAAAAGAAACAATATTAGATTTGAAGGTAGATTTTAATAAGGTTTACATCCAGATTACATGTGTGGAGTACTTAACATGATAAACAAATTCAGCATTCTTAGATATGTATCCAGAGCAAATCTATGATTTTCCAAAGAGACAGAGAAGAATATCGATTTGATAGTAATTTGTAAGTGCTTTTGCAAAGGTCCTGAAATGTAAAGCCAGCTTGCCATCTAATATTTAGAATAGCACATTAAATCAAACTGCACAAGCTGTATGTATTGGAAAAAAAGACATTTTCATAGCACTACAGATATCTCCCATTGAAAAAAATAGTTCTTTCTCAATAAGAATTTCAAAATTTGTTCGCTATGTTCCAGGCATTAAAATGTTCCTTTCTCAGTTAATTACATGTAAAGTTTCTACATTAATCTCAATCATGTTAACGTAAGCAAATTCCTTATTTGCAAGTTAATGAATAATTTGGGATGTAAAAATTTTCACAACACAATTAACCTTTGCAGATTTGCTTAGCATTTTGAAGATGCTAAATTCCGCCCTGAAGCAACATTATGAATTCTTCTGTGGAATTTTGATTGTGACAGTCTTAACTTCTGTATATTCATGAATGCCATATTCTCCCCTAGATAAACGAGAAACAACAATAGCACTCGCTGCAATGCTGATCATATTAGTGATGTCTCAGAATGGATCTGTTATAGTACTGTGCAACTGGCCACATTTTCTTGGTCACCTTGGAAGTTTTCAGTATAGCTAGGCTACTGCTGGATGCTATTTTCAACACAAAAGCAATTGCTTCCCAGGAAAAATGTGTCAAAGGACTTCCATTTTGGTATGAAACAATGTTACTGAAGCAATTTAGCACATCTTTAAACTGCATTTCTGAGCCCCAAATCAGGAACTTGTCACAACATACACCTGCATGCTTACAGAGTCCCCTTGCAGGGCTTCCTCAGCTGTCTGAATTTTCCTAAGATTCTTATTCTCAGGTGAATGAAACACATAATTAAACCATTATGGGAACTTTTAGTTAGCGAAGAAATTGTATACAACATTATGTTTAAATATTGTTCAGGCTTTGACATAAACCAACAGAAGTCAGGAAACAAAGTTAAATCAGACTGACCCTTAACCTGTCATGATGGCCCTTTAAATTTCACATTGTGAAATCAGGATGGACCTGTATGCTTTAATTTCAAGTTACCTAGATGTTATACATTTTATGCCATACTGTCTAGACATAATTGATTGTTTTATAGCATATTAAGCTAGACCTTGCTAGAATCTAATTATATCTTGGCTCCTATAACCATACTATTAAGTATTCATATGAGAAAAGCTGAGATTTATCAACTATCAGGACCCTACACTGAGAAATCCTTTACTGAGATTACTTTCACAAGGCAACTTGGACATTCATAGCATTCATTTATTTACTTTGTAACCGCAAAATTGTATAACCTTCACTGTAATGGTTACCTTCTAAGTTTTCTTTTAGCTTTAGTTCTAGATATAGCCTGGCACATTTACTTTCTTGTTCACTGTGTTATTTATCACACATTGAAAATGTTTTTGCCAAATGTTGTGTATAGAAATGGATATAAACTGGCCGTGGGGAAGTTTAGGCTTGAAATTAGATGAAGGTTTATTGGAACGACCTTCCGAGGGAAACGGTGGGGGCAAGGGACCTGTCTGGTTTTAAGATTAAGTTAGATAAGTTTATGGAGGG